AGACAAACTTTTCTTCTTGGGCCCCCTGACTGTTTCGAGTGGTGTAACAAGCTGGATACTAAAAGCCGTACTGCCTGGGATTTATAATTGCGAACCCAGTAACGAATGTCAAAAATCATGCAAAACAGAAAGGTGTTTTGGAGGAAGAAACCTGTTGCCTTATTTTTTGTCATTTCAAGCTACTTTTGAATTAGATTTATTTGTTCATTTATTTACTTTTGAAAACATTTCGTAATTATGATAGTGGTATGAATAGTCCTTTTATAGTAGCCTTGTTCAGAGTTTATCATGGCGCGCAATGAAAGGCATAAACGAACAGTCGAACAGTGCATATCACATGATGCCCATCAAACTTTTGAGTGCAAAGTCTCAGGTCGTTGCTGGTGTGAAGTATGAACTGGAAATTCTTGTTGGTCAGACGGAGTGTCTTAAAAACGTAAGTTGCAGATACCAAATTAGTTTTTCTTTTTGAAGAACTGGAAATTTTTGCCACATTTTTGGATTAAAATCGTATCCGCTTTCTGATCTTGCTTATGGTTTTTCTTTTTCATGACTCCCATTTGTTTCAGCAACTTTCCTCAGAGGATGTAAAGCCAGAGACGTGTAAGGAAAAGCCAGGCGGAAACAGACAGGTTACTTTTCTTTTCTTCTTCAACTCAAAAATTAAGTAACTGTTTCGCTGGCAGCTTTTAGTCGTTTTTTTCACATTAAATTTTTTTCGTTATTGCATATCTTTGACTGTACTTTTTTTTTTTTTTTGCTAACAGTAGAAGAAGTCTTTAGTAGTTTGTTCTGAAGAAAAAAATTGTTTTCTACTTTTAAGTTTACTTAGTCAGTCTGAAATAAACTTGGCTTATATCTTCGTCATTATATTAGCTTTTATTGTCTGCCTCTTCGTTCTTGTGCCAGAAATTTTCGGACAGCGTAGTTTGTATGAAAACCAACTTGATTTGGTGAGAATGTTGTTTATAGAGTTGCACAGCTTTTTGCTGTCATTTGCAAAAGGAGAAATTATTTTATAGGAGAAGGATTTATAATTTACTTTCTCTCTAAGGATGGGTGCGGATTTTTTTAACTTGCTTCGTATTCATCTTGGCATAGGATAGTTTTGATAAATTGAAAGAGAAATTCTGTATTGTACTGCAAGTGAATAAAGAAGTGTTTAAAATAACGTTTCTGCCTCCCTCGTGATTTTCTAGTTTTTATGGTTCTTTGTTTCGTACAGCATACCCTGTGGAGGAAGAAAATACATTTATCTAACATTTATCCATGTATATACATCTTAGCGCTCTTTGGTTCCAACCTATTTTTTAACTAAGGTAGTAGCAGACCGTAGCGTTTAGTCGATCGTGTTTTTATATGAAGTCAAATTAACCGTTTTCTGTACTCAGTCGTGGTATTTTCGTTTCCCAAAAATTCTGGTACAGGTTTTCTAAAGTTTGCGTGGGTGCTATATTGAGTTTTTGTTGGCTTTTATTCAAAATTCGTAGCAGGACAATCGTGAAATCGAAATGAAGGTGCGTCAGAGCACTGTCGCCTTCTTTTAGATTTGGTGACTGGGGCTCGACTATTAGCACTTTATAAACGCATGTTTTTCTCAGAATAGCACTGGTTGAGATAATTGAAATAACACACACTTATTTACTTTTTTGGCTGTACCAGAGTAAACTTTACAAAATCTATTTTATTAAAGAGGCAGCTTTGCAGAGTTGATAGTTTTTTTCGAAATAGGATTTTCTTTATGAGTTAGTTCATAACAACTATTTATCTGTTTAGTTTATGATGAATTTTTACTACTTCATTGTAATGATTTTTATTGTACTAATTGTTGATAAGGATGAATCACCAAATTTTATTTTAAGTTTTGAAGACTATGTTATATGGTAGTTTATTGCTCTAAGCATATGTTAATAATGTCTTTTTAGTTTTTAAGGCGTCGTATTCTGCCAGATTAAGTGAAGAAAACTTTTTTGTTATTTTTAGAATATTTCATTTGAGTAGGGGCAGCTGGATTTTTCAATTGTTACAGGTTTACGTCGTTAGTGTGTGGCAGAAACCCTGGGAAGACTTTGAACAGTTCACTATCAAGGAAGCCAGGGAGGCTTAAAGACGTTAAATTTTATATCATACATCCAACAAGGACTTATCCAATAGTTTAGTACATTTGTATAACTTATTTTTTTTTTCACTGTAATATTTGCTTCTTTCTGCACTTAAAGTTTCTGAAAAGTTTTTTTTTTAGTGTTCAGGGTGCTCTATAGGGTGCCTTTAAAGTTTTTTTGATGAAAAAATGTTTTTGTTAAATGTAACATGACAATCTTTCACCATGTATGGATCAGTTAATATCTTGTATATATCGTGCATAAACGTCTTATTTACAAGTCTTTCTCTTGGTTGAACCGCATACTAGTAAACAAGTAGGAAGGATGGCATTTTTTGATTTGATTGGAGTAAAGATTGGTAGCTTCTTTGACTTTAGCTGGACTTGAAGGTCTTTTTTTTGGTTGAAGTTTTGTATTTTTGTGAATTTCGACGCATATTAGAGAAAGCCGTGTTGATTTTGATAGTTTCATTCATCATGCAGTATTCGTTGGACCTACTACTTCTGATTGATTTAAAACGTTCACAAAAGTGTGATGAAATGAACCTGGTGTTTTTTCAATGATAGTAAAGAGACTACAGTTTGGAAGCAGTTGAGGACGACATTTGGTTTGCGCCTAAGTGAAAGTTAAGTAAATCTGCAGAGGTAAAAAAATCAGGCCAATTTTTAGTTTTTGTTAAGCAAAAAACTTCTGGTGAACAGTTACCTGCGCATTTGCTCAAATTTTATGTGTCAGTTGGACAAAGTGAGTGTTTGGCAGTTGTCCGGCACCTTTTAACTGTAACATCAGGTCATTTTATTGGTTGGCGTCGAAACAATTCATTTATAGGCGTCTTCAACTCCAATTTGCTGTGAAATATTTGTCGGGGCGGGACCAAAATTACAGTAACACTGGCGGTTGGCAATTTAACCAAGTGTTGATCTATGTTAGTACTAAGCAGTTTGTAACATGCTTGCTGC